GAGTGACACTGGCCTTTCTCCAGTCCTCGGGCACCTCTCTTGTCCTCCAGGACCTCTCAAAGATGATGGAGAGTGGCTCAGCAGTGACATCCACCAGCTCCCTCAACACTGGTGGGTTCATTCCATCAGGCCCATGGATTTGTGGGTGTACAGATTGCTTAAGTGATCTCTCACGCAGTCCTCCTCGACCAAGGGAAGGTCATCCTTTCTTCAGGCTTTCTCTCTCCTACCTCCAGGGCCTGGGATTCCTGAGGGCCTGCCTTGGCACTGAAGACTGAAGCAAAGAAGGCATTCAGTAGCTTTGCCTTCTCTGCATCCTCCGTCACCATGACACCCACCTCATTCAACAGAGGCCTTTGCCGCCTTCCAGGTTTATGTAGTAATTTTTTTTCAATCCTAACATGAGTTAAATACCTCCAAAACACCAAGGCCTTATAGAAAAAACACTTCATGTTCAGAGATTTTGAATTTTTCCTTCCTTAGTATACAGAAATGGACTCTCTTACTAAGAAAACTTACTGTTATAGACTGAGGAGAATGAAAAACAACACTCTGCGTAGGACAGCACAATCTATTGTTATTGCTCCATGCATAATACTCAAGTGAACGGTGGTTTTCGCAGAACTGGTTGTCACTTCACCTACTCCTTTTAATCAACATAAATCTAGGCAGCACCATCAATCACATCACTCCCCTCTGTTGGCTGTCTTGGAAAAACCTGGACCCCAGCCATCTAGCCATTCTGTGGTCTATGCTTTAAGCTCTACCTCATGTGGAAAATCAATAGTCACTTCAATCTCTGTACCTGGATGTATGGAGGCCCCCGCCATTTCAGGAGATGCAGAACTTCAGTCACAAGAAGTCAGCTCATACATGTCAAATGTCACAATTCCTCCAGGGTTTCGTTCCAGAGAAGCAAGGAAATAAGTATCCTCGTGAATGAAAAGAAATGAAACGAAGGCAATAAAAGCACTGCAAGGAAAAAAAAAAAAGGTAACTGAAAGTTTGTAAATGAAAAAAAAAAAAGAAAGCAGAAGGAATATATATCTAGCTCTCTTTCTTGTATTCACTTGTAAGAAATATGTGAATAACATGAATATCTGTTCAAAAAAGCAAGAAAACATCTTATCAATTAAGAATGTTGTAGTCTGGAGGCTTACAAGAGCTGGAAAGCCTCCTAAGAACTAAAAATCCAAGATCTTAAGAATAAAAATGAAACAGAAGTCTTTGAAGAGGCACTGTACAGAAAAGTTGGCTTTCAGAAGAAATTGTGTGTCCAGGATCTGGACACTCTGACATCTGTTACTGTACACAAAATCACCAAAAGTCACAACAAATGTTAAAACTCATGAAATTGCCAGGAGAAGGTGTGAGTAACAGGCTTCGTGCAGACTCTGATGTCTGAGAATTAAGCACTTT